GTCTATTGCTATCCTTTCATGCAGAAAGCTAAGCTTTACACATCATGATGGAAAGACTGAATAGCTGTGGTTGGAAGAAGATTCCCATTTGCTTAGCACATTGATATAATTGACTTATGTGTATTTTATGCTGTTTTCCCAACAACGGTTCAATCTTTTTATTGAAATGAGACTCCAGAAAGCCCTCTTTTTTATATTTGTTTTGCATTCCATCACAAAGAGATGTGTTCACTTTCAAAAGACACCCAGTACACACATTTCACATTCTATTCATACCCATTATTAACAGCAACAAGCCATAGTGAAACACATTTTCCAATACACACCACCAGGTTTTGAATATTTCAAGGAAAGTGGTGGTGTAGTTATACTCAACACTCTAGAAACTAATCCTGGTGTTAATAAATGTACCTAAAAAGTTGGGCTATATTCACATTTTATGGAAGCAAACTTTTTTCCTCACTAACACATCAAAGCATTAATACCGTATTGTGAATATAATAAATGAGCTCTATTTTATATAATAACATATAATGAGATGCATTAAATGTGTTTTAAAAAGTAAAACTTGAAATAGACCATTGTTAACAATCTGGTTTAAACAGAGGTACAACACTCGGCAATATCTGAGTACATTAAGCTTATATGTACAACATATACATAGATTCATACAGTATGCTATTTATTACATATATTTTTTCTGAATTTAAAATGTTTCCTGCAAATATGGACAAACAATTATATGAAAAGAAATGTCATTTTATTGGCACACCCAAACAATATGTTTTTTAGTTAAAAACTGTGCAATTTTGTAAAAAATAATTTAAAAAATATTAGCCTGCCATTATATTTGTGATTGTGATTGTATAAATTTTGATTTATATTGTGATTTAAATTATTATGAATACCTAAAAAAGTTAACGAAGGGTACAATCAACAAGTTATTCAATAATACTGTATGCTCTTAATTTACTACACTAATATTAACAATATTAATATTAACAACAAGAAATTAAAATAATGTAATGTATGTATCTATCTATAATAATTAGAAGCCTTAATTATGTACACAGCTAATTCATTTTAATCTTTCATATTTACTATTTTCATGTATTCATCTATAAATGACTGTCACCAATGAATTGTTTATAAAAATACATTTTAACCCTTTTTTATTTTAGGAGGGTAGAACAAAATACCAGGGCCCTTCTAGGGTACCCTATTGGTTAATGCAGAGGGATGAAATATTGGGAAGCATATAGGTCAGGATTTCTGCAAATGAATTATTTTCTTTTACCTGAATTTAGGAGGTCATATTATGCTAGTGCTCAAGTGCTTCTGTTAATATTGGGAAACGTGATTCTGCATTTCAAGTGACTAATCTGAATCACAGAAGCTATTTCAATATTAATGAAATTGTTTAATCTCCTAAATTCATCGTGTTTAAGTAACGATTTGGTGATTTACTGACCAGCAAGGAAAACTGTCAATAATGTTTTTGCTTGTCCTAACACATCTTTTGTTCATCTACATCTAAATGTACAAAGCCCTCTGGGGTTAAAGATACCTCATTTGAAAGGTAATTTACACCCAGTTAACAAACTGGGAGCAATAAACTATAAAGTCACATAGGTGAACTGCTATATAGAATTGACTGTCAAAAGATTAAAGAAAACATCCTTAGTTTGACCTGGCATTACAAGTAATGAACAGACAACAAAATATTAATTATTAATATCTATTTCTAGAAAATAGCCACAAATCAGTTTTCAGAAAACATAACAAAAATTGATAGAAAAATTAACAGTAACATTTCTGGTAAAATAATAATAAGTGAAAATATATATTGTATCCTGAACATACACTATCGCCAGCAAGTGCCTACAAATTATAAAACGTAAAACTGTAAATTATCAGTTGTAAAAAAATTAAAAGTGTTTTTTTCTCCTTAATTATTATGACGCATAAACATTTTATTTTCTTTAAGCATGTATATAGCTAATTAAAAATTTTTCAGACTGAAGAACTGTAAATATGAAACTTGGTATTTTACATGCAATAATCATAATGTTAGGTTTGTTTGTTTTCACAGTAAAGATATGTTCTTACTACCAAAAACCTTTGCTTATTAACAAAGTGTGATTTTTTTTAAGACTACATAAAGCTAAAATCATTTTTTTGGAATCATATAAAAAAAAAGTAATCTATTCAGACATGACAAAATCTATTAAGCCAAACATGCAGGTTTTTAAGACTTCAGTTGCTGCTGCTATTGCAAACGTGTCATGTATTATATTAAAAACGTATTGTATATTTTAACTTTTTAACAACAGAGGTTTTATATTTTGTATATTTGTATATGTACAATTTTAAAAGCCTCACATAGACATGTTTGTGTGTTTGTTGAACACATTATGCTCTTTAAGTCATTTAGCAAACATGTTGCTTTAGTTGGTATTCAAATATAAAGCTATAAAGCTATAAATAAGTAACTAGTTTTACTTTTTTTCTATTACAAACCTATGATTTTTTTTTTGGCTTTGGAGAAAAGAATTGAAACTGCACATGAGGAAGATCCATAAACCTACTGACAACTTATAGCAGGAACAACAGGAAATGCGAGATTTGGATGATTAATATCATGATAATCACCTGCTCGGTCCCTGTGAAGCAGAAGACTCAGAGTATCATACTATAAGGGAAAGGAAGGGTTATTTGAGGCTAAAATGCAAAGAGACAAGGACAATGACAGTTGCATTCTAGGTAGCTCACATTCACATTTTGTTTCAGGTAAGGTTAACTTTTTGATGTTTTACCCCCTATATGGATTACTAATACTTTGTTGTTACAGTTATTTTTCATCCAGGACATGTTTCTCAGTTTACGTTATATGGACTTACAGATATTATGGCTGAGGAGAGGTGATAAAGATGCATCTTGAAGCTTTAACATCTGGCTGTTTATCGGCTGTTTAAGTATAGAGTACAAGGTTATTATGTGCCTGAATGACTAGAGATTATCAGTGCCATCCCTGGGGATTTAGAATAGGGCTGCATTAGAATCTAATGAATTGCTCTTATACCATTCGTAGTATACCTCTTTTTCTGTATTAATCCATTGATGTCTATTTGTGACTTGTTAATATTGTGTTACTAACACATTGCATACACTCTCCCTGCTGACCAGCAACTCATGGCTTAGGTACACAAGATCTGTCTGCATTACAAATTGCTGCAAGTCTACACTGTAGTGAAACTGTTATAAAAGAAATGCTAACATTAATACAGTACACATTATATTGATAGTGTTAAGTCACATCATATCATTTACTATTGAAAATACTGATTCATATAATAGTGAAATACCTGTTTTGCTAAGCAAGTCCTTTTTGCATAGGAATCATAGACTTGTTGATTGGGAGAACACTTTAAACAAATCTGAGCACATTTCTATTAACAACAGCAATTCCATTATGATATAAGAGCATTTAAGCAAAATAATACACTTATATACAATGTGTTAAAAAATCTTTATTTTTGCGAAATGCACAATAATGCTCTGCTTTCCATTGCACAAGTTTTAAAATATACATCTGTAAAGTTGAAAAACAAGTAGGCAAATATAATGTTTGCAGGTATATACAGTTGACATGCAACAAGAATGGATATGTGACTTTCTATCTATCTATCTATCTATCTATCTATCTATCTATCTATCTATCTATCTATCTGTCATCTGTCATAATATATGTAGGTATTCACATGCACACTTGACACAAAGAGGAGAAGCACAGTTCTATCATCTGAACCGGAAGCAACTATGGCTATAAAAAGAGAAACAGAGTCTTTAGTTGCACTTACACTTAACAAAGTAATAACAAGTATATTGACCTAACTCTACGTTTCTATACAGTGTTTATTCTAACATTAAACTAATTTCACCTACCTAGTAAAACAACATAAAACGTACTGCATTATTTTTGCTTAGCTTGAGAAAAAGTGACCTCCCCCTCCTGTTAAAAGTAAAAGCGCTGCCTTAAGTTAGCTAACAATACAAATCAGATAACAATATAGAACAAACAGAATACCACAGCCAAGCAATTTCCATGTCAAACATCCCACTGCTCAGTAGCTCCATTTGTAAGTGTGAATTGCAGACTAAGCTCCCTGCAATGCACACAGGAAGGTTGGTGCATACCTTCACACACACTGTTACTGGGTGCCATCACACTTCAATTCCGGTTGCTGAGCCTTTTCACCCCTTGCCTTGTCTTCAAATGGAAATTATTTCTATTGGCCCAAGGTGTCCATGTAAATAGGTGTAAATGAAACCAGATTATGCCTTTCTTTCCCCCACGCCCCCCTCCTCTCTACTCTCCCTCTTCTCTGCTCCCTCCCTCCTCCTCCCAAGGCGATTGTCATATGATAGCAAAGAAGTGGCACATTAATGAAGCGCCTCTACAGGGGTCTTTTCTGTTCATGTCACCACATAAAACTATCAGATGGTTTGAGGAAGGACATGGACACAACTACTTAGCTTATCTCCCACCCAGTGAAGGAGAACTACTTTCTCCTGCTCCCATTCAGCTGCTGCTCAGAAAAGGAGCTTATTTCTGATGCTAAAGACAAGATCGGAGTTTATCCAAGAAGGGACCAGTCTGGCAACGGATTGAATTAAGACCTGCAGCATCAGAAAAGAGGCTTCAGGATTTCTTTTTCTGCACCATATTGAAAAACTCTGTGACCGTGTTACAGATGCAGAGCATCAACTTGTGAAAAGTTTAAGGTATGACTTGCATGTTGTGCTGAACTTATTTTTTTTTCTGTTTTGCTGTGTACTAAACAAACCTGTCATTTACAGTACATGTAAAATTATGTTGAATATAGTTAATTTTAAAACATGTAAAACTTAGGTTAGACATTTGTCTATCCTGTTTTAGAGTAGTTAACTTTAACACCTTTCCCTTTCTACATACAGGTTGCCTCTGAATATAGTGACAATGCCTCGGCCAGGGAGAAATACATACAGTGACCAGAAGCCCCCTTACTCATATATCTCGCTTACAGCTATGGCAATTCAGAGCTCTCAAGAAAAGATGCTACCTCTCAGTGAGATCTACAAATTCATCATGGATAGATTTCCTTATTACAGAGAGAAATACACAAAGATGGCAGAACTCTCTGAGACATAACTTATCTTTCAATGACTGTTTCATCAAAATACCAAGGAGACCTGATCAGCCTGGTAAAGGCAGTTTCTGGGCACTTCATCCCAGCTGTGGTGATATGTTTGAAAATGGTAGTTTCCTGAGACGTAGAAAGAGGTTCAAGGTGATGAAATCGGACCACCTGGCTCCTACTAAGCCATCAGACGCAGCACAGTACCTGCAACAGCAAGCAAAGCTTAGACTAAGTGCTCTGGCTGCCTCGGGTACCCACTTGCCACAGATGTCAACTTACAACCTTGGAGTCTCTCAAACATCCAGTTTCAAACACCCTTTTGCCATTGAAAACATCATTGCTAGAGAGTACAAAATGCCTGGTGGACTTGCATTTTCTACAATGCAGCCAATGACAGCTGCATATCCGCTTCATAACCAATTGACTACAGTTGGCAGTTCCATTGGCACAGGTTGGCCTCACATGTACAGTTCCAGCATGATAGACACTACCACCCCTATATCAATGGCCAACAGTGATTACAGTGTGAGTGCATATGGGGTGCCAATCAAGCCACTTTGCCATGGAGGACAAACTTTACCTGCTATCCCAGTACCTATTAAGCCCACTCCTGCAGCTGTGCCAGGGCTTCCAGCACTCCCAACCCATATCCCAGCTATTCTCTCGAACTCTTCTCCGTCCCTGAGTCCAACATCTCCCCAAACAGCAACCAGCCAAAGCAGCCCAGCCACCCCTAGTGAAACTCTCACTAGCCCTTCTTCTGCTCTGCTTTCTGTGGCTGTACACTGACCTATTGAACTAGAAAACTCAAACCATCACTATAAAGTTTACTTACCTTAATTATCTCCTAAATGAAAAAAAATGTCATTTCAAGATGAGTTTATTACATCATGTTAACTGTTCCAGTTGTTTATCCAGTGTGGATTTGTATCACTTATACATCCTCATACACTTGAATCCATTTTGCTGCATAGCAGATCTTTTATTTTAAACACGTTTGAACATCTTTTATCCGACATATTTCAAAAGTAAAGGGCAGGCATTTTCAGGTAGCAAGTTTCAACAGCACATGAAAAAAAATTAAAAAGGCAGTTAGTATCACCCAGGGATTGCATTTTGTTATAGTTTCTTTAAACTTTGAAATTAAAATGCTTTACTTTAACATCAAGCCTTTTTTCTAGAGAATGTATTCTTATGTAGAATGTGCAAAGTTTTTTCTATACTTTACTTATACTTACAGTTTATTATCTACACTCAGAAAGGTATTAAGCTATGTTGGAAACGGTGCAACAACTTTTTGACAGCATAATAGAAGTCATTAGATTTTAAAATGTTCACATAAAGGATAATGCTATTGTAGAAATTAATTAAAAATAATCAGAGTATGGTTAAACAAATAGGCTGTTTACAAAAACACTGCCCTAATGTAAATATTACGTTTGTGCACTAAAGAAAAATCTATACCTGTTGGCTGCCAATAGTATTAATTGAAAGGCACTGGATAATCAGTACACATCACTGGATTTAAAATACATACCTATTTATTTGATTCTTTTAAATGGGGGATCACAAAATGCGCTGTCAAATTGGATAAACAATTTGACTCATATTTTTAAAGGACTTTCCAGAATGTTCAGTAAGGAGGGAAATGTAAATGTAATATGTGAATAAGAATGAATATAAATTGTGTATAATGCACTTTGAATTGACGCAATCTAGTTTTCATTGAGCCAATTTGCTAAGGTTTACAAACTCAAAAATACACTGTTGCTCTTTGGTGAATTTAATTTAATTACAAATAGTCCTACTGTCATCTAAACTGTGAAGAAATGGCCACACTATTTCCTTGTTGTACAGAAGGCATGACATTTGCATATTTTGATGTTATTATTCACAGCATGTGTGTATGTCAGACTACAAGAAAAAAATATGTGTCTGCGTTAAATTATGAACCTAGTCGTCCAAATAATATTTTTTTCATTAAAATGTTAATTCTGTATGATCGTGTGTCTTTTCCTTTTTTCAGTTGCTTTTTTATATGTGTATAATATCTATAGATACGGTATATTCAAAAAAGTATAATAGATAATTTATTTAAGTTATGTTTTATGACTCAAAATAAACAGAGACCTGTCAGTGTATTTTTACAAATTGAATAATACAGAAAGCAGCTGTCATGAAAAAAAGCCCACAATTTAACATTGATAGTGTGCTAATGTCTTAGGTATGCCTGTTGAAAATATTGCAAGAGTAGTAGAGAAAATATTAGATATTATGCAACTTTTTAAAACATAGCATATTAAAAAATACATACATTTTTGAGTTTAGGTAAAAATGCGTGTTTTTCACAAAATATTTGAGGGCAGACTTTTTAGTTTTACAGAATTTACTATCTATTTATCTATCTATATCTATATATATATATCTATATATATAGATATATATATATATATACTTTGTTTTTAATCTATAGAATGAGTTTAATTGATTTACCTCTGTGGACTTTCACAATAAAAAGCAGGGGTAACACCTTTCATTTCACTGATCTGATTTGTAAATGAAGACAAACTTGCCTTTAAATGTATTTTTATTATTATTATTACTATTATTTTTATAATTTTAAATATCAGCCTACAAATTTAAACTCATACAGGAAAGTTGGATATATAGTACTTATTACAATAGATACACATTATCAACCATGCAAGGGTGGTGGAACTTTCAGGATGGAAGGATATTAACCGCCATTAGTGAGTTCAATAAAAACATTTATAACATAGAAGATTATAGAGAATTTGCAATAACAACAAATAACCGTATATATCTCTATATTTCAGGGAGTACAGCAGTGAGCTGCTGCTGTAATGAAATGATTTATGTAAATTAAAAATAAAATAGATATTTCCTGAAAACTCTTTTCTACAAGTGGATGTGGCAAATATCTAAATAAAAAATATAATTCTGGACAATCTGAACATACAACTCAAATATATCTATTGCTTTCCACTTTCAAAATAGCAACATCTTCCTAAAACAGAAATGTGCGCTGCATAAAGTTCACTTTGCCTTGACATCTACCATACATTTTTCAATAAAGGCAAATTTCAATACATGTTAAGACCCGTTAATTGAAAGTGAAAATGTGTGAAAAAAGTAAAGACGCTGTTGTTCGCTTTTAAAATTCTTTAATTTCAAGCTTATCAACGAGTAAGCAGGTTGAAGACTGAATGAATCAACAGCTTTGTTTTACTTAATCCCAATTAATGGCTCAAGTTCAAAGTCAACAAACAGTTATAAATGGCCAAAAAAAAATAACCTAGTTGAAAGTGCATTGTCACAAATTTGATATAATTTAGGAGGGGTTCATGTTTATTATATACAGTATATATATATACTGAATACTGTGTATATAAGCACAAGCAGACACACAAAATCATCATGCTCACACACCAACTTACACAGTTGTTAATTTACTGTTATAAAAAATAAACTTATATATATATATATTTATTCCCAGTTTTTTTTTCAGTAATTTCAAACTAGTTTGTCACCTTGGCATAAAATGATAAATCGAGCAGCCAAACATGTATAAAAATAAAGTGAGTATACTAAATGTCATTCTTTTCATATTGAGACCATTATTTGTTTTCACCGAACTATCAACAAATTACCTAATTAATATGTTTCAATTACAGCACAGAAAATAGACCCTCTGGACCTCCTGCAGTGCCCTTACAATAGGCTCAGATCTTACTTTAGGAATTCACACTAACTTCACATCTGTTTCTTTATTTCTTACTGTTGATTTGTAAAACCTTTTTAAATTCTGCTCTAATCAGTGGCAAGGTTATATGAAATATGTCTCTGTGCTAAGAGAAGAAGAGAGGACGTTAGAAGATCTGGACTTTTTTTGCAAGTTAGAAAGTGAATTCCCATTGAAGAGCATTAAACAAATATATTAGAATTCTGTCACTTTATATGCAATTCAGTAGATCAAATAAAGGGCCCAGGCCACTTCATTCACATCAATAGAAATCCTAAAGAATGGCAAACCTAGACTGGGCCACCGATGTAGATTTAGCTTTTTTCTCCCCTCTTAGAGACAAAAAGACTGAATTCCCACAAACACATTACTGACTGGTGCACTAGGAAACCAGCAAAGGAACCCCTTTGGAATTTAAATTCACGCTATCTCCCCTCCTTTTAGGATTTGTTTGCACTACAGTGCTGATTATATTGGAATCCTCTGTTAAAAAGTAAAGGTTTTACAGACACCATTTGCCCCTCAGATCAAGGACATTTTTACCATCTACCCAAAAGATGTGGTAGGACACTAAAATATAACTGAAAAATACAAAAGAAAAAATAAATGACAAAAAAAGTTGGATTTTTTTTGTTTTTTAAGAATGTGTCTATATCTACTATCTACTGGCTTTATTTACAGCAAATAATTTCAGAGCATATATTACATCAGCATAATGTGTGGCGTATTTCAAGTTACAGACTAACTACTTGCACTACAACATTTTTAGATTTTAATATCAGGTGTCATGAGTACACTTGTTAATAATCTGTATTAAATTAAATGCTACAAATATGAGTTATTTTGATAATAAAATCAGATTTCTTTAATTCAATTTTAGGTACTTAATTTTTTTCTGTGTATTTATGTCTGCATTTGTAAGTTTGCATTCATATAGTTTTAATCTATTTTGATTTAGTTAATGAAAATGCAAAATGCATATAGGATTTTTGAAATTAGTAGCTTTGACTAATATGGTTATTACTAGCTGACACAGGAATAATTTTTGTCCTATCAAATTTTTTGTAAAATTTATTTTCTGTTTAGGTGGGTACATGTGTTGATGGATTGTTTAGGTCAAGTGTCTCAAGCATTTGTCAGCTTAGTAGCTACTTATCAATATGACAGTTGGCAACAAGCCATGATGAGAAACATAAATGAAGAAATAATATAATAAAATAGAACTTTGCAAATACTTTAGTTAATAATGATGTGAAATTGTTTAACGGATGATAAACAATGGCCAAGCATTTGCTTGGCTTAGGATTTTGAAAGTGTGTATATTTTCAGACAGGCACTAAGAATCCTTTTGGTTGTTGCTAAATTTCATATCAAAGAAATCAGAGAGTCACCCGTGACCACCATTAAGTTAGAATGTGTAGTAAAGTCAGGGTGAGCTCAGGAATGCAGTCATTTTAGACATATATGCACCTAAAGTTTTGCATAGACATTAGATGCCAGTTAAAATATCAGACCACTGAACTGTTTGATCTGATAAGCTCTTTGAGTATCTCTCCGAGCTGATCATGGCATAGGCACGTATGCTCATTTTTGGCAAGATATGCATTTTAGCTCAGTCTAGTGTGTTGATGCACGGAACAGGCATCTTTGGCACCAGCTTGAAGAAACAATAGCAGTGAACATAAAAATTGTTGCCTGAACTCCACCTGTAACCAGTCACATGTAAGTCATCCATCATGTTAAATAACCTTTTTTCAGTTATGTTTTATATAACAAAGCTGCCAATACTGAAATAATCACCTTCTGAGCAGGTAGAAATATGCTGTCATATAATATAATCCAGTTGTGTATTAGCCATTTTAATGCTGGAAACGTATTTTAAAGGGATGAGAGAGATAGAACAGGTGTGTATATAAGAATAAAATGCAGCATATAGAAAAGTGTAACATTTCCCAAAAGATCTTTTAGTTTTCAGGAAAACTATGAAAAATTGTAAGCTATACAATACTGAAGTCAACATCCATAC